ACAAGTTGACAGGCAACTCTTCGTTTTCTCTTCGTATTTATTTGATTCTCTCGTATTACTCTATAGTGTAAGAGCAATTATCCCAGTCTAATTTCTATTTCAATTTATCTTGTAAAATTTGTATGAGCATATAACAGGCATCTATCTAATTAGATTAAAAGGAACTATGTTCTTGTATACTAATTGATAAGCGCAAAAAGAAACAATATCACAAATTGCCAGCTTGTCAGGACAAAAATTAGTAGACACAAATCTATACATAACTGTATCTATACACAATGTATAGATACCCAAAAAAATGTCCGTCCAACTTTTCTTCAAGTTTAGAACAGTATATAATCGTAAAGCTTTATCGGACATCTCATAATCACTTTCGTAAAACTCTGACTCTTCCACTATTCTTTACACAATATATAATACTGTTCTATTTTTTGAATATTCTACGATTATTATTATTATCGCGCAGTATGTCTCAAGAGATAATGAAAGATTCATTTGATTATTGTGATTCACCATTACTAGCCCCCAACGATGGCCGACCTAATGATGAAAAAATAATAAACTGAATTTATTATTAACTAATACTGAACGCATCGATAAAAATGTTTTAAAATTAGATCAAATAATAGATATGCTAGTATCGAAACAAACAATAATAGAAATTAACATTAAGTAGTATAAATACCGATTATGTAAACACACGAGAAATTATTGATAAGACCGAAACATCATGTTCCAAAATATTAAGTATTATTGAAGAACGAGCCCTATCTTATGAGTATGCAATTGTAGATGCGGCACAACAAATTCAAACAGTTACGGAAAAGGTCAGTAATAAGTAACTCATTAGTAGAAATAAATGTTGGTCATCACAAATTCAGTTTTTTCATTTCCCAGTTCATACTAAAGTTCAGCGTTAAACTTCAAAGAATACAGCTTTTTCCCTTTCGGTTTGATCTTCTCCATTTCTTTTGTGTCTATATAGAAGGCTATAAAACGAAAAGAATTTTCTAATTTTGTTATTATACACTATTTTGTAGTTTGATATGTAATCTGTCACTTTGTGAAGTTAAAATAAAATGAACTGAAATATCAACTCAAATTCTTTTTGTAAAATTTATGATTGTAACAGATTCAGTTTGCAACACGACACGATTTTTTTTTTGTCGCTTAGGCTACCAATCTCATATTTTTGACCAAGAAAATTATAATCATGAAATTTCTTCGAATTTTGTAACTACAGGTGACAATGATACGTATATATCAGGTGACGTAAACAATGAACCACATGAAGTAAGTCAAGTTAATTCAATAGCTAAGAACAATAGATAATAAATTATCGTATGGTTATATTTAGACGGCAAGCAGTGTTTCTATGGTTGTGAAAGCAGCAAATGATACCATCCATGCACCATTTGAACCAACAGCAAATAATAAAAGAAAAACAAGAAAATGATACAAGATATTAATGGTCCAGTACTACAGGTGAAAAGCTATTTAATAATTAACAGCATATGCAGTTATCTGATATATAAGTTGCTATAAACTACTGAAACATTTTCTATTTATCGCCAGCGAACACGTTTTTTCTGATTGACAAACTTTATTTCATCTAGTGAATACTTTTTAGAATTCTACACCAACAAGTAAAATAAAAAGATCACATACATTGGCACCTATCGTCACATATAATTCTACATCAACGCAGCCGCAATTTGGAGTACGTGCTTATAAATGCGAAAAAATAGAATTTTCTGTCTAGCTTTTGAGCTTTGGCTTCTAGGTACCAGCATTAACAATTACAAATCCAACAACACAAGAACGTTATCAAGTATATACGGAAAAATACAATCGTGCCAAGAATGCTGCAGAAACTGAATTGTTAACTGGAGAGAAGGAATTTAATCATTTGTTATCCTTTTTATTCGGTGCCATATTTTCTAATAAAGAAGTGAGTTCCATTCATGGCACAGTAAAAGGAACAAAACCATTATGCCCACAACGTGTTCATGCAATTGACCAACATATGTATAATATTTATAGTCAACGATATAGCACGTATGAACAAACAAAAAAGTTTAAAGATACCATAAATAAAAAATGTTGTCGATTACGTGCTAGAGTATTAGATACGACTACCGGAATATTTGACTCGATTCATCATATCGTTCCTTGAGTATCGTACAGCATCGATCGAATTGGAAAACGTACCACCAAGAAAATTTATTCTGCGTAGCGGAACACCTTAAGGGTCACCACTGTCACCACTACTTTACGTTATATACACAAGCGATTCGATGAATGATATACAAAAACACACAAAGCATGGGCTCTTCGCTGATGACACAGCCTTATGGACATCATCGAATACTGTCATAAATCTCAGACATCGTCTACGGTCATCGGTCGACGAATTTCATAAATGGTGCAACGTATGGAAATTGGCAATACAAAGAGTCAAAACCGAACTGATATACTTCAGTCCACATCCAAGGAAGCAATATAAACAACAAGTCGAAATCAAAGTCGGAAATACAATTATAAAATAACAAATATCAGGAAGATACCTCGGTATTATATTTGATCACAAACTCAATTGGAGAGCTCACACCAAACACTTGGAATCCAAGCTGGCGTCGAGAATTGGACTTCTTCGTTTTCTATCTCGATCTGCTCCAGACTCAAGCAACAAAACAATGCTAACTCTATTCAAATCACTCGTTCGAACAGTCATTACCTATCCTTACATCGATCCTTTTAACAGCCAATGACAAAGTCTGGGAACGATTACAAATTACACAAAACAAAGCAATACGAGCAGCACTTGGAATACCATCATATACATCCGTCGCAACATCCCCAGAATTAAACCATACATCACAGCATTACTCCAACAAGCAATTGCAATAGCACAAAATTATGAAGACAATATATCTGAAGAATCTCTGACACTCATACTAGCACAGCTCTAAACATCTTTTATTTTTCAGATTTATATTTCCTTTCATAGGGCATAAGACATAAAGTCAGGCGTCCTATTTTCGTTGGTACACTCCCTAGATTTGTTTACTTCAAATAAATCATTGAATCCCAAAAAAAACATTCTTTAGAATTTTCTATTTTAGCGTATATTCGTATCTGACATACGGAATTTTGTATGCAAGATAAAACGACCTGTGCAGACAGGATAGAAAAATAATTTTTCTCTTGTTCTGTTTTCTGTCGTGGCATAAATGAATGATCTGGTATGATGACTGACGACTAAGTGCATCCGCTATAGTGTCACTAAAACATATACGATATTCAAAATTCGAACTGAAATTCATTGGATGAAAATTTTAGATTTAAATAAGCTTCAAATAACATTTCATTCCCCCTT